AGTGGAGATTGGAGTCCACGCGTACATTCGTATTACCTCCTACACATAAGCAGTTTTATCTTAGTCCCATTAGTCTTCTGCTTCTAAAGAGGAAGTGAGTGGTTAAATTGATTGGCCATTGTTGGAGGGCGCCCCAACTCCAATTGCAATTAATCTAGTCATCCCTCTAACAAGAGTGAATACTTACATTTGCACACAGAAATAGACCCCATAATTTCATCACACCCCAATTTGCTCCACATTAAAGAATAAGAACAAAGTTAGCACAGCAGGAAGCAATCCTTTGATGTATAAATTACTGTGCTGCCTAGAGCTGGAAACACATTTATCTGTGACTGTTATATGAATCTTTGCAAATAAATCGCCATCATGTGAGTGGATCCTTAACTGTGCCAAAGCCAGGTGAAGTGATTTTTGATTCTGTCACAATGATTCTCATATTTGGTATTCACAAATATGCAGCAAACAAGCACAGGCCATATCACTGATATCTAAATGTAAATTCAGGTGAGATTCCTCTCTAGTGTGCTTGAAACATTCATTTACATACAAAAACAACGATATACGATCACATTATTCAGATTAATAAGATTTTCCCCACATACAAGTCATCTGTATTCTAGTTCACTCACCTCAATAAGAGCTGAAAATGTGACCAGGGTGAATATTTATTACTACACTAAAGTGAAAGCCCGTGTGGAGTTATGAGATTATTGTGTTTGTTTACTAGTCAGCAAGACTATGCGATATCTACAAAGTGCAATTATAGGACCATAGGTGGAAAGGCGTAACACTGGCAAAAGAAGAACCCATTTAATTTCGCTGTGGATGCAGATCACTTCTTTAAAATGGAGAAATAAATCAGTGTCACTGGATATGCTCCTTTAGCGTATCTTTAAATTAATCGTGAAAGAATTAAATTAAATTAAATGAAGATGGAAGACAATAGATGGATGGAAAATGTGGTAAATATATCCTTGATATTCCTATGAACAGCCTTCGAGTGTAAGTTTCAAAAAATTACACAAAGTTTAATCACAGCACTATCGTTAAACAGTTTTTTTAAAATCACAGAACAAAATGAGAGAATTTAGTTTTTAAAGAATCCAGGTTTATTGACAAGACAAGAAGCAGTGTTCTTGCACTGTTATGTTGAATTAAACAGAGACTATTGATTTTAAGCAGTTCCGATCAATATTTAAACAATGAATCAAACTACTGTGTACGTAATGGCCGTTCAGAAAGACTGTATCTGAGCAGATAGTTAAAAACTGATGCTAGAAAAATATAACACTGAAGTGCTACGTTTAAGCTATTTTGACTTTGTTAAAATAATCTGTATTAATTATTTTTATACCAATATTTCATGTTGTTATTAAATAATATTGATGCATATGCTGTTTGTAACACATACTATGTAATATCCAATCATTAATGTGAATTATTTAATACTTTCATCTAAATCTTAATTTTACACCCTTTTTGCATGTGAGAGGCTCTTTGGTATTTTGATCATCTTTACATCTTTACAGGAGGACAATTTATGTGAGTAACATAAAAATTCAAATTTTGTTTTACTACTGACACTTATTTAGGATATATGAGAGAATTATGTAAAATAAATACTTATTGACCTATACTCATTGAAACTTTCTTGCTTATAGTACATCATTTAGCATTCAGATTTACACAATTATATCACATAGCTTTAATACTGTCAAAGCTTTACAGTGTACTTTTAGATGTTTGTAAGCTACTTTAACTGAGATACTGTAACTAATCTAAAGTGATATTATTCACTGTTATTTTTAAATTGCACTTTTTTATTAATGTATCGAATATCTTTAATAATGGCATTATTAAGCTGCTGTGTAAATGCAGTTGCCACCTCCACTAAAGAAACCTTCAAATATGACTCAGGTCTGTGGAACATTTCAGCATCCCTCAGCTCACTCTTTTAGTTTTCCACTAGTGTTATTATTTTTGATGCATTCCTTGCTCTCTTTGTGGTCTGAGCTGCAGCAAAAACCTTTTTAAGCAAATATGCTCTATAAACTTGACTGTTTGTTACAAGTTTAGTACTAAACCACAGTCAAAGTCCTCCGCTCTTAGATTATTTTAACCTCCTAGGACCTGGCGTCCACATATGTGGACATCACATTTTGGGTTATTTAGACTAAAATACTCAGTTTTGTTCTACAAGGGCCTGATATCCACTTACAAGGACATTATACTGCCACTGTTCTATCAAAATTTTAAATGAATATCCTCATATGTGGCTCTCATTTTTCTTAGAAACAAAAATAAGATTTAAAAAAAAATCTCGTAATTCTTTGTTTTTACATTCATCAGGTCCCAGTGTGACCAAATATCAAAGAGAAATTAAAAATGCATGTCGTGGAAGAGTTCGGGTCTTAGGAGGTTAAGGATTTTTGCAGCTAATTTGGTTGAAAAGCCAGCAAGCTCTGCAGTCTAAATGACTATGTAGATTGTTTGCTTTGTCTGCACTCTCTCGCAGAAAATGTCATTTGTAAACTGCATGAAAAACAAATGACTAATGATTCAGGATGACAACTTTAAAGGAAAGACAGAAAACAAATTTGCATTTAATGTATATGTTTTTTAAAATAACAAAATTTATGCAATAAGTATAGTAAAAATTGATTATATATAAAGTTTATCTTTATTCTAGCATTTTGACATTTTAGTGTGTCATTATTATATGTTAATGGAACCACTTAGACCTATTATAACATAGTATACACAAACCTATTTCCCCAAAAATATGGGTTGCTGAATAAAGTATGAATGACAATGATGTGGTGAAGAAAATGCCAAATGTTAAAACTGAGTTTTAAAAAAATTTCACAAACTTTAGGTCAGGGACATGTTTAGCATTGTGTTATGTTATGTTAGCATTTAAAAACTAAGTGGTGCCTTTTTCATACTTGGGATTCCAAGAAACACCCTGTGTTGTGAGGCAGGTCTAGACTGCAGGGGGACAATTCACACATTACACTGGCAAGACTGCATGCATGGCATTACTGGAACTTGATTACAGGATTTAATATTCATAACCCCAGCTCCAAAATGTAAATACAATCTGATAAACCCATATTCCATTCACAACAGATTATAGAAAAAAAAAATCATGATTTTAAAACAAAAAAAGGTTAATTTTTATTTGATGGCAGAAGCAGCTTTCTAAAAAGTTGTTACAGGGCCATGTTTACCACAATCTAGTGTCCTCTATTCATTTAACAGCAGTCTGTAAATGTCTGGGAACTGAGGGGGGCTGCTGCTGGACTTCTTTGTCCTATTTTTTGTTTCATGATGTGCCAAATATTTTCAGTTGGTGAAAGATCTGGTCTGCTGACAGGCTGTTTCAGCACTCGGACTCTTACATTACAAAGCCATGCTGTTGTAATATTAGCAGCATGCTTTTTAACACTGTCCTACAAAAATATGAAAGGCCTTTCCTGAAAAAGTGACGTCTGTTTTGCTCTAGATGTTGCACTGATGATGCCTTTCTACACCTACAATCAACTATTTCTACATGCACTAATGCACCCCTATACCATCAGTGATGCAGGCTTAACAACAAGGATGGTCTCTCTCCCGCTCCTGTAGTGTGGATGATGTGGCATTCATATTTTCCAAAAAATATGAGATATTTTGATTTGTCTGACCACAGAACCGTTTCCCTCTTTGCTTCAGTCCATTTTAAATGAGCTTTGGGTCACAGAAGATGGCAGCATTTATGGATCATGAAATTTATACAACTTCTCCTTATAGACAATATTATCTGGAAGTGTTCCGGAGCCCATGCAGGAATTCTTATGACAGGATGATTCCTGTTTTATTGCACTGCCATGTGAGGATCTTAAGATCACAGGCATCCAGTGTTGATTCTCGGCCTTGTCTATTGCAATTTGGCAACTTTTTTGTAAATGATGTTTGGTGTTTACTCAGCAGTTAACTAAAAATTAACAACTAACCCAAAACACCAGCTGACAAGTCATCACATTGACTTAACCCTTTACAGCATGACCTATGAAATAACTGCCAAGAAATTCAAATTTTCTGAACCATTCATTGAATTTATTGAACCATCTAACAAATCTGCTTAATAAAATTGATTAAATTACATTTACATGTCCTTTAATTTGCTACATCTGACATTAAAAAATGCTTAAAAATGCATTGCGCAATTTATTTAGGTTTTTCAGGATTTATAAAATTACACTGATTATGCAGAAATCCCCAAACCACACAAAAAACTACATGTATTAAACATGACACACATTAAGATGTTTTATTTCAAACAATATTTATTTGAGAAATTGGGTTCAGCAAATATTTATTTATTTATTTATTTTTCTTAAAGACTTAATTAATTAAAACTCTTCTTTTAATTTGGTGTATATTTATATTACAAAATGTATTTATTTTTACATATTCAATTAAGAATTAATTACTCAAGATGAAATCCTTTTCAGTGATTTGCTCATATGTCTATGAAAAAGTTGCTGCTGACAGTGTGCAGGCACCCACAAATATGCTATTAGATTTCACTCTCCACTGCACCTGTCTTACAGGTGGTCCTTTGGATAATGCGCTCATCTTAGTTCCAAAATTGCATCAATATGCCATATTGATGTGCATACATATTTCTGTCCTGAACATCTGGTGGCTGGTAATCAAGATTGCAGATAAACAGAAACTGAATGTGTTGTTATGGTGTATTCCTGGCTTAAAAATCTCATTTTGTTTGTTAATAGCTGTGTGTGCTTTGATGGTCATGCAGTTAAAAGACACCAGTTCTCTGTTTCATATTATTCAGCAGGTAAAGATTTCCATCGGAAATCCATGCTGGAATCATAACAGGCTAAACAATCTGCGAGGTGGCAAACTCACCGATCAATGCTGATGGCACAGAGATTGAGGATGCTGGCTGTACACATCATCACATCCAGAGTGACAAAGATGTCACAGTGGATCTTGCTAAAGCGCCACTCTCCCACCACCTAGGAGAGGAAAACATCCACAAATGACAGTTAACTGCCAGAGTCAACAGAAAAAAGTCAATATGCTAGCAATGGAAGCTTCTTGGCAGAAATAATGTGTTTGTGTTCAGCAATAAAAAGCAAACCTGACACTAAAGCCTTCTCGCAATATTTCCCATATCATTTCAAACTTGGCAACATAAAGAGAGAAGCAAAGGAACAAAACTGAGACATAAGAGGAAAGAATGGATGACTGAATTATGAATGAGTAAGTATAAAAAAGCATCCGTTCTATCACATGAAGAGATTTCTTGCTGTCATAAATATTTTGCAAGAGCTTCAAATCCAAATAACATGTCATTTTCTTTTTTTATGAAGAATTTTACAAGTGACTTGTTGAAATTTGACAGATTATCTTATCTCTCCACTTACAGTGGTAAGAAGTAAAAGCTTCGAAAACATATAGACATCCTCCTTAGACAAGACAAGTATTCTTTACCATGTATCCTACTCTTTAGCTCGAGGAAGCGTTTGATCAAAGACAAGATCGAAACCTGTTTGAATTCATGCCACCGTTGCTCTCAGCTGTATGATCTAAGCTCATGATGAAACCAACATCAGTGATGTTGTGACAGGTCTGAAGCTGCCCAGCTTGTCTGACACTGAAGCCTGCCTGCTTCCTCCCACAGCTCTATCAAGGGTAAGGGAGATGTGTTTGTTCAGGGGCAACTCCTGCCTGGCTGATTAATCTTTGTCCTGTGGATGTATCTTCATAAAACTAAGCTCCCATCATTAAAGAGCTGTAAGTTTTTGCTGGTGTCTACAAGGTCGTTATAGCCAGTTTTCTGTTGCCCTGAAAACTGATTTCTCCTCTCTTCTCTTTTCCACAATTTTCCAACCTTTAACTCTTGACATTTCTCTTCACTGTGGCTAAGCACCACTATGATAGTATGCTTTCATTTTGACTGTTTCTCTCTTTGCTATCATCATTTTGCTCCTTGCACTTGACTTTTATTTTTGAGTCAAAGCTACTCCAACACACCCGCACAAGTTCCCGTCCTGCTGGAGCTGCGAACAAATTTTAGTGTTAAAATTTAAAAGGCCCACAGGAGCTGAAAGCCATTTCATGTCCTTGCGGCTGCAACAGAGGTCTGTTCAGTCTATGTAGCGAAACACCTTTTGTGGATATTAAACAGCTTTTTACAAGACAGTCATAATAAATGCATGTGTGCCAAAACTGGCATGATCCCCTGTCAGGAAACATCGATCTGTCCTTCTGAGTTATCCCACCGTTTGCATTTTTCTGTTAAAGTGAAGATGACTTTAATCTTTTGAAGTTAAATTATGACACATCATCATTTTGTGCTGTGAAATATTTATATAGATTTTTGTCATTATGAGTGCTTCAGTTGAAAACGTTGCGTTATGAGGTCTTTACTTTCGTGCGATTTATTCAAATCTGTTAATTTTGAGTCATTTGTGCCAAATTTGAAGATATTACCAGCATGTTCAGAAATATTTCATTCATGAGAATGGGATGATTAACTCAATGGCATTATGCTTCTGGCAACAAATGAAAAATGTAGGCAGTAAAAGGATAGAAATTATGACAAGTTTACTAATGTTGTCCATAGCAACACACAACAGTGCTATTATATTATTGAATTTGAATGATGGGCTTATTTGTTTCTCCTTAAATCCTGCACTTCACTTCATTATTGAAATTAATTGACTGCATCTTTGTTTGCAAATTAGTAGATTGTTTGAAGAACTTTCCATTCCCATAGTGGGTTTTCTTGTAATACTGCAGTGTCATTTTTATTTGCCAAGCTCATTTTTTTTTGTGAATCGTCATCTATAATTCATATTATGCATATCACTTAGAGGGTATTGGCATTTGATTTCAATCTGCAATGCTGGGAAAAAGTAGAAATAAGGATGTTATATGAGATACATCATTTACTAGTCTGGCAAATGAATTCTCATTTGTCAACTGGAGAAAGGATCAGCTGGTTTGGATTTAAATGAGTCATACCTTTGACAGTCAAAATAATGTGCTGTTTTATTAATTCTTATCTTTTATTAGTGTTTTATAACTAAAAAGAAGGAAAATGTATTCTTTTAAAAATGCTATTTTTGCTCAGCAGGGTGGAGCATCAGTATCTGTGTTTTACTGACAGAAGTGCTACATGTCTTTGAACATCAATGTAATGCTTTTCTTCCCACCTTTACTACAATTAACAATTTTTGTGCATGTTTTGACTTGTGGTGTCTACCTTGCAAAGCAGCTTGATTCTTATTGTAAGATTCATAAGATCGGGTTTTGAGCTACAAGACTTCTGGAATAATGTCCTTTGGGCAGGAAAGAGCAAAGTGGAGATATCTGGCTATAAATCTGGCTGTAATACACACTACCACATTTGGTGTAAACACAGCATAAACACATCAGCGCAAACACCTCATACCAGGTGTCAAACACAGTGATGGACGGTGATTTGGGCTTGTTTTGCAGCTACAGGATCCAGGGACTTTGCAGTCATTGAGTTGACTATGAACTTCTCTGTATATCAAAGCATTGTAGAGCCAAATCTAAGTCTATCAGTCAGAGAGTTAAAGCTTTGCCAAAACATTGTCATGCAAAAGGACAATGATTCCAAGCACAGCGGTGAGTCTACAATAGAATTAGTAAAAAAGGACAATGGCCGAGTCAAAGTCCAGAACTCAACCCGACTGAAACCTGTGCATAATAAAAAGTTCCTGCGAACTTAATTGAACTGAAAAAACACTGTAAATAAGAGAGAGCTGAAATTCCTCCTGCATTGGGTGACAGACTGAGACTGAGACTAAAGTCATACAGAAATTTTGATTACTGCAAATTATTGCTGCTACAAGCTACAGAATCATGGAGCGTACTTAGTTTTTCACAACATGCTTCTGCATTTTGGCTTAGTTTTTAGATAAAAAAATAATGAAACAGTCTAATATGTTATGTGTTGTAATTCATCTAAGTTTGTGTTCACCTCATTTGAATTCTATAAGAACTTGACAATTGTTCATTATGTCCTGATATGTAAAACAAGACTTTCTTTTATCATGACTGTATTTAGGTATGTTTGAAGTAGTACAAAGAAACTCAGTGAGTACCACAAAAACATCCCCCACACCATTACACCAGCAGCAGCAGTAGCAGCCTGAACACCTGATATGATGTTGTTTACACCAAATTCTGATCCTACCAAAAATAAAAAAGGCAATATTTTTCCAACTTTGATGAATGGTAATAATTTTAGCCTTGTTTTTTTGTTCTTATATGACAAGAGTGGCACCTGGTGTGCTCTTCTGCTTCTGTGGCCCATCTGCTTCAAGGTTCAATGTGTTATGCATTCAGAGATGCTCTTCTGCATACTACGGTTGTAATGAGTGTCTGTTTGAGACACCATTGCCTTAAGCTGGGAGCAGGCTGGCAATTCTCCTCTGACCTCTGGTATTAAGCAGATTTTTAAATATAGAAATGACACTCACTGGAAACTTTGTCTTTTAGGATCTTTGCAAACCCTACACATGGTCAAGTGGAAAAATCCCAGTATTTTAAGTTTCTGATATGCTTAGACTTTTAACAACAAACATGCCATATTCAAAATCATTTAAATGTCGTTCTTTCCCATTCTGATTCTCAGTTTGACATAAAGCAGGTTGTATTGACCATGTCTACTTCCCTGAATGCATTGAGTTGCTTCCATGTGATGGCTGATTAGATTATTTCCAATTACAAGCAGCTGAACTTCTGTACCTTAAAAAGTGGCTGATGAGTGTGATACATTAAAGGAAATCAGAAAATTTCCAAAAAGATTCTCATGCCCATCCAAATAATTGAATTCAGGTGTTTGGATCACTTTAATGATCACTGGTGTATTACATCAAGCACCTAGGCATGCAGACAGCGTCTACAAACATTTTCGAATGAATGTTTCGCCCACAGCAGCTCAGTAAATTCCAACATAGTAATGTGATAGGATTTGCAACAAGTCCAGTTTAGAAATTTCCTCACAACTAAATATAAGTCAACTCTTATTGGTAATATGACAACAACAGCAGCAACTCAGCCATGAAGTGGTAGGCCAGCTAAAATCACAGAGCGGGGTCAGTAGATGCTGAGGTGTGCAGAGATCATCAAATTTCTGCAGAATCAGTAGCTACAGATCTCCAAATTTTATGTGGCTTTCAGATTACCTCAATTAAACTTATTTATATAGAACTAAATCACAACAACAGTCTCCTCAAGGGGCTCATCAGAACAGCTGTATCCACATTATGAAATGCGATGCAGCGTCTGATGCAGTTGGGTTAAAACTGGACTCTAGAGGAATGGAGACATGTTATCTTGAGCGATGAATCATGCTTCCCCATCTGGCAATCTGATGGAGGAGTCTGGGTTTGGAAGTTGTCAGGAGAATGGTACCTATCTCACGGCATTGTGCCAAGTAAAAGTTTGATGGTGTGGGGTTGGTTTTCAGGAGTTGTGCTCGGCCCCTTAGTTCTAGTGAAAGGAACACTTTAATCTTCAGCATACCAAGACATTTTGCACATGTTCCTAACTTTGTGGAAACAGTTTGGGGGTGGTCCCTAGATTTTCCAACATGACTGCGCACCAGTGCACAAAGAAAGGAAAGGACCATAAAGACATGGATGAGCGAGTTTGGTGTGGAAGAACTTGACTGGCCTACACAGTCCTGACCTCAACCTGATATAACACCTTTGGGATAAATTAGAGCAGACACTGTGAGCAAGGCCTTCTCGTCCAACAACAGTCTGACCTCACAAATATGCTTCTAGAAGAATAGTAAAAAAATTCCTTGTGGAAAGCCTTCGCAGGAGAGTTGACACTGTTGTCTGCAAAGGATGGGTAGATGTCATTTAAACCATGAAGAATAAGAATAGGATGTTATTCTAGTTCACATGTAAGTGAAGGCAGGCAAGGGAAAACTTTTGGCAATATAGTGTACGTAAATAGGCAAATACCCAATAAATACATACATGAATAAATAATCATATTGGTAAAAATGGAAATTTGACTCTGTAACGTACACATGTAGAGCTTTACTACAAAAATGGGGTTATGTCACTCATCAGTCAGATGAGATTTTTCCCTGAAAATGTCAAAAGAAATAAATACAACAGTAGGGCTGGGCGATATGGCCTATAATGCATATCGCTATATAATTTGAAGCATGTGCATATATAGCATATATATCACGATATATTCTTTTCTTCTGTATAACGTATTTTCCACACTAAAAATCCTTTAATTTTCTCAAAAATCGAGAGTGTACCTTATGTATGAATTCTGGTTGTGCTTACTGACCTCGAACTGATTTTGGCGTGCAGAAATCTGTTAAAAAATGTTTTAGTACAACTTTGGTAAGCCGCACTGCTTGATGGATTGTCAGAGCATTACGGAGCTTCGCGGAGTAATCGGGGTCCAAAACTCCGTCTAATTCAGGTCCCAAAGTAAAACGAACACTAAGAGTTAAAAACGGTCAAAATTCTTTCATCTTTAAATAAATCATAAGCGTTGCTGCTTTATCGGGTGTAACAATTAAGTTTAACATCCATGCGTCCATGAAAACAGAATTTATTAAATTTAACGGAGTTAGAAGTTAGCAGGAGGTTAGCTCGCTAGTTTACACCTAAAC